CTGGCCTCTTTGGGGGTCCCTCGGCGAGAAGCTTGGAGGGAGGTCCCCACGGGCAGGGGGGGGGCTCCTGGGGCACCGGCGGGCTGCTCCCGGCAGGGTCAGCTGAGGGCCTCTCTTCTCTCTCGGCCTCTGCCAGGAGGAGGCGCAGCTTTGCAGCACCCAGAGCTGTTCTGCCACCAGGAGGAGGCCCGACCATGAAGCTGTTGGAAAACTCCAGCTTCGAAGCCATAAACTCCCAGTTGACGGTGGAGACGGGAGATGCTCACATCATTGGCAGGTAGGTGGCTGGCGAGAGGGTGGTGCTTGGCACCCAGGAGTGTCAAAGCTCGGTGGTGGTGGTGGGCCTGCCTGCTGGTGATCTCTTGGAGGATCCCACCCAGCCCCCTAGTTTTGGAAGGCTGCAGGCTCCCCGCTGCGTTCTGCTTAGGCTCAGATCTGCCTGTCCCTTTCTAGGATCGAGAGCTATTCTTGCAAGATGGCCGGAGACGACAAACATCTCTTCAAGCAGTTCTGCCAGGAGGGCCAGCCTCATGTGCTGGAGGCCCTCTCACCACCCCAGACCACGGGGATCAGCCCAAGCAGGTAGGTCTCCATCCTGTGGGCAAAGCTTGCTGCCCTGTTGCTGAATCGCATCAGTGGCTGGGAAGAGACCTTCCTAGGCCAGCAGGTTCTTGTCCTGGAGTGCAGAACTGATTGAAGAACTCTGCAGTCAGAAAGAGGAGACAGCTCATGTACAGGAGGTTCCTGGGCCCCAGGCGAGCTGGGGTGCTGGTGGCACAGTGCTGGAGGGAGTCATCATCAAACATCTCCTTTCTAGTCTCTGTATTTGTTTGGGGGAAGAACCGGGATCACAAGCGTTCCAGGGGAGGCCTTGCTCTCTATGATGGCCTCTCAACCAGTGCTTGGAGGATGTAGTGCCAAGATCAGGTGGCACCTGGTTCAGCCATGGGAAGAGATCCTGGCAGGGGCCAGCTATGCCCTGTAGAACTTTTGTGAAGGGGAAGAGGCCAACCTGTGTTTTCTGTGGCAGGCTGAGCAAGAGCCAGAGTGGGGATGAAGAGGGACCCCTCAGTGACAAATGCAGCCGCAAGACCCTCTTCTACCTGATTGCCACTCTTAACGAGTCTTTTCGGCCAGACTACGACTTCAGCGCAGCCAAGAGCCATGAGTTCAGCCGGGAGCCGAGTCTTAACTGGGTAGGTGATTCCCTCCACCACTCCTAGGTGGGCGGCAGGCACATCCCTTGGTTGCCTGGGTCTTATAGCCTCACCTGCTGGATCCTCTCCCCAGAGTTGCTTCTTGCTGCCTCATCTACCACAGTGTTGCGGGGCGTTGAGTTGCCTGTCACTCCAAGCCAATCAACATCCCTGCCTGTGGCCTGTTTTTGTTCTTCTTTCTTCTTAGCTGTGATCTCCCTCAGAACCTTGCAGCCCTTGGGATGATGTTGAGGTGCGCCCATGCGCACTGTCTGCTCGCTGACTGGAGAGCGGACGCTTTCTGTTGTGTAACCTCCGAACCTGTGTTTCAGGTGGTGAATGCAGTGAACTGCAGTCTCTTCTCTGCAGTGCGGGAGGATTTCAATGCTTTGAAGCCCCATCTTTGGGATGCTGTGGACCAGGAGATTTGTCTCTCTGAGTGTGACATCTACAGGTGGGCCTGGGCTAGGGAGTCGGGCAAGGAGTGGGGCAGGGAGTTGGGCAAGGACTGCCTTCGGGATTCTGGAGGTTCACTGCCTGATTGAGGAGGGGAGGCTACCTGACAGTTTTCCCTTTCTGGTGGTGCAGCTACAATCCGGACCTCGACTCTGACCCATTTGGAGAAGAGGGCAGCCTGTGGTCCTTCAACTACTTCTTCTACAACAAGCGGTTGAAGAGGATTGTTTTCTTTACCTGTCGCTCCATCAGGTCAGGGCCTGAAGCCAAAGGGCAGGCAGGTGGCGGCAGCACCCGGCGCAGCCTGTCTCTCACTTTCTTTCCCCTCCCGGTGTTGGGAACCTGGTTTCCCTTGGCCTCTCTTTTACACTTTGGGGGCCGGTTAAGGGGGTTAGGAGGCAGTAGTGGAAGGGGCAATCTTCATGTTGCTGCTTTGTCCTCCCAGTGGTTCCACGTACCCACGTTCTGAGGCTGGGAATGAGCTTAACATGGATCTGAGCGAGGACGAGGTGGAGGAGGCTGCAGATGGCTGCGACAAGGAAGGGGGCAGCCTTGGGGAAGATAGGTGTGTAAGGTGTTATCCTCTTGGTCTTTGCTGGGCTCTCGGGGGAGGGGGATGCGTGGAAATGTCTGTGGAGCTTATTCTCCTTCCCGAGGTGGCGCTCCTGGTGTGCCCAGCCAAAAAAGCTGCACGGATAGCTCCTCCATGGTTTATTTTTGCACAGGTTTTTGATGTGGAAAAAAAATAGATGGGAAAAATGAGGAGGGGGTATAAAGTTAAAAACTAAAGATAACGTTTTTTAGGAGTTTTCTCCTCTCTGAAATTCTATAACTGTAGCAGTGCTACTGGAAGGTGAAAAGTTTTGTCAGGGAACACACCCACACCCGGCAGCTGAACATGTGGGAGGCAGCACAGCCTCCCCAGGAAGGAGAGCTGAAAGCTGCTTTAGGGCCTCCTTTATTCTTTTTCTGCCCGTAGGAGACAAGTGATCTGCATGTGATCCCATGGCAGATGCTCCCTCCTCACCCTTGAGGAAGGCTTCTCCAGCATGTTTGCCCAGATCAACCTAGCCTTCCGTTGCATTGCTCTGCCTGCCCAGCCGCCCTACGGATGCTGCGTGATCCTTCGGTGCCTCTGGATGCCCGGGATGCTGCCTGCTCATCCTCTGCCCGCTTGCTTCCACGTCGGGGGCCCAGACACGGAGGTCTTTCCACCATTCACCCACCGTCTAGGATACCGGTCTCCCTTTCCGCTGTGGCTGAACCATCCTGAAGCACTTTCTGTTCCCAGCTGGATCCATCTCTCACCCCTCCTGCCAGCACCAGCATCTGTGTTGGGGGTAAAGGAGCTCCTGACTAGGGGTTGGGCTGTCTTTACCAGCGAGTCCGAACCGTCTTTGGACCGACCGATGCTGGGCCTCCTTGTCTCTCTCTGTCCAGTGTCTGACTGGGCCCTTGGCTGATGGTTTTTTCAGCTGCGTTCCTGTGACTTGAGGCGGAAGACTCTCAGGGGGGCGCCTACTGACCTCCCTTTTTAAACCTGAAAGATATTTGGCAATGAGCAAGTGGGCACTGGACGACTGCAAGCCAGATTGTGAGCATCTCTGTAGCACTGCTGCTCCCCCCCTGCACCACTGGGCTCTTAAGAGTTTTATTTTTGTATTCGGGCCCTATAAACTATGCTGGGATTTCTCTCGTTTGCCTCCCCTCTCCATACATTTTCCTGCAGCAGCTGCCTTTTTTCCTGCCCCCTGACATGTGTCAGCTGTTCTGCCCACCTCTGCTCCCTTGCTTCATGGCCTCTTTGCCATGTTAGCCTCTGGCACTTCTCCGCTTCTCTTGTGCAGAATGCGGGTGCTGATTAAGATGGAGGGTTGGTCTCCTGCCCAAGGCGGTGCCTCCTCCCTGGCCTTTCCTGTGCTGCTGTGGAAGTTCTACCCCCTCCACCACCCACTTTTTCTTGCACTGACTCCCGATTCCCTCCTGGGTGGTTCATTTCTGTGTTTGTGTTCAAGAAACTGGAGGGGCAAGGAAGTCTGAGGGCAAGGGCTGGCTGATGGTTTGGAAGTATGGAGCCAAGAAGACCCGACGTCAGGGGCCATTATGCGTTACTTATGGCTGGGCTTCTTAGCAGCCGCAACTCTGTGAGCCCTGAATCCTCTCAGGCTGAAGAAGGCGCCAGCAGATGCTCCTGGCCAGCTCTCTGTAAGAGAAGTACTTCTCAGCCACATCTCCCAGAGTATAACCCCATCCGGAGGACTTCTGCTACTCGCTTTCAGCCAGCCAGATGCTCTTGGCTGCCCTTTTTAAGTGTATTTCACTTTCTTGGATTTGGGGGGGGGGGGCTGGCCCAAAGGAAACCTGTTCAGAAGAGAAATCTGGCTCCAGCCCTCTGCTCCTTTCACCACCCCTGGCTCGTGTTCCCCATGGATGCTGTTTTGCCCATACATAGATACTCTGTAAGACTAAGTGGCTTGGTTACCTCCTATGTTTAGCTATGTTTCATTGGTGGGCTATAAAGTTTTTGTGACCTCCAGGATGTGTAGGACACTTATTTTGACTCCTGTGTGGAGGAAGGGGTGAGTCAGTTGGGAGGAAGGCCAGTATGAAGCATCATTTTCTTGAATGATAGTTCTCTGTAAGAACTCACTTGGTCCCAGAGAAGTGGCTGCTGAAGATGTAATGTGGACCTTCTTCAGGAGATCGGTTCTGGCCTTCAGCATCAGTGTTACCTGACTTCCAATCTTCTCTTGCTCCTTTGGGGACAGGCATTGAGGGCTGGGGGCTCTTACAATGGCTTTGTAAGAATAAACAGTAGCCCACTGGATGACCCCCACAAGAATATTTCTTTAACTTGCAATCTCCTTCCCGACATGCTTTCACTCCTGCGTCCCAGATTTTGCCCAGTATATCCCCACAGTGAGTTGTAGGTGGAAGAATGTTGTTAGGGTGACTAATACAGTACGAGCTTCAGGTGTTCTTCTGTGGGCAACGTTTTTCTCCCCTAGTGGTCTGTTCCTCCTAAGGTGGCTAAATAGTTGGTTTCTCCTTGCCTTAAGAGCTCTTGTGGTAGTGCCACAGGGGGACACTGTCCACGGGGATTGGTCACCAAGAGGCACTATTCTGACCAGGTGGGGAGGAAGGGAGTGCACCCTGTGCCTCTGAGGAAAGGGGGTGACCAGTAGCTAAGGAAGGCCACTCCATTGGCACCTGTTAAAACGGTTTCTGGGAAGTTTGCGTACATCCTTGCATTAAGCGTTGCAAGAGACCACGTGAGGAAATGGATGAGATTAAGCAGGCAAGGGGCTGCTCAGCCGCGGCAGGTGCGGGCAGCGCCGTGATGAAGACGCGAGTCTTCTAAATTCAGGGCTACCTCTCCTGCACCCAGTTGTTTCTTGACAGTACCTTGCAAGAAAATGCTCGAGATGTGGGGCCAGGGGGGCAGAAACACTTTTGAGCTGCTGCCGTGGTGGCGCCCTTGAGTGGGGTGAACAAGATGGATTTAATCTGAGGCTCTTAAGTGCCTGTACGGCAGGATAAAAATCGGCCTCCTTTGGCCAGGCTTTGGGGTAGGGTGGCTAGTCCTTCTTCCCTCCGCAGACGAGGGGTAATCGGTTCCCAGGCGCTTTGGGGGGGGGGTGCCTTTACCATGAAAAGAGGCCACCTTGTGTCGTGGCCGAGGTGGACAAACAGGTTCTCCAGTGGAGCTGCTTCTCGGGCAAGAGGGCCCTGGTGTGCCCCTCGGTCTCTTCCTCTGAAAAGGGGGGCTGTGTGCGCGCGCACGCCACCACAAAGACTGTGGGCTACAGGTGTCCAGGGAGGGGGTGTCACGGCTCCCTCCTGGCTCTGTTCCGCAGAGAGCAGCCGGGCCGCAAGTGAAGGCCTGTCAAAGGCCCCTGAGGGGAGCCGTGGGGCGTTTGCTGCCCCCCCACCCCCTGCTGTCCCACTCCCACCCCAATGGCGAGACTGTGTGGCTGCTTGGTCATCCCTCTTTTCACTGAACCCACTGCAAAGGGGCACGGGGACCGCTTTGGGGAGGGGGGTGTGGGCCGTGTAAGCAAGCCCTCGCCTGCTTTCTCCAGAGGCGCTCCATTGTTTCGGGGTCCCTTGACTGCTGTGCTCCCTTTCTCGTGGTGAACCCCATCCCAGACCAGACTCTGCCTCCCAGTGTGCCTCAGAGTCGTGGAGGGGATTGGGCCCTGTCTCCTACAAGAAGTCCCCCGCCCTCCGCCTGCCATCGTTCCACCTTCCCCCTGCTTTTGCCCCTCCAAGGGCAATGTGGGCTGCGTACGTTTTGTCAGCAGGAGAGAAAAGGGGACACGGTGGAAGGGCACTGGGCAGGCGAGCGGGTGGCAGAGGGACTGGAGGGAAGCCGGTGGCAGTTTGCCCCCCCCCCATTCCTCCCAAGGTCTCCCACAAGCACCCTTGGCCCCAAGCCAGGCTGAGGCCGGACTCTCGCTTCACACACACACACACACACCCCGTCGGCTCTGGGGCTGGCGGCTGGGCACAAGGGCCCCCGGCGTCCCTCAGCTGCCCAACTTCCCAGCTCTGGGGCCCTGCCTTTTGTCAACAGAACTCTCGTCTCCGTGGCAACCTGGCATACCTGGCACCGGCAGCTCCCAGGTAAAAAGGCGGCTCCCTGGGGGTTTTGGGGATTTGGGAGGTGGTTGGGCCGGCTGGCCAAAGCGCTCCTGCCCTGGGACCGCGACTGGACCAACGGCCAGGACAAATCATGGGGGCTGCACAACTCTCAGAGGGCTGCCTTTAGAGCCCCGGGGCCAGGCCACGCAGCTCCGTGAAGGGGGCACCGGGGGCAGGCCAAGCATGGCTTGGGTGGGCTGCCACGGAAGCCCCTCAGCCTTTGCCAGACGGTCAGGGGGTGGGCCAAGGAGGGTGGAAGAGGCCCAGACCTGAATGCCCCCTTGGGTCCAGCGTCGCCCATGGCCGAGAACAGGCGTGGCCCTCCCTGGCCAAGGACACCCAGCCTTCAGGGCCCCAGAAGCCCTTCAGCAAGCCCCCTCCCCAGCTCGGCCTCAAGCCCTGTGTGGGGGGGAAGCAGAGGGGGAAGCGAGGAATGCCCCCCTCCCGCTCCTCTGCACGGATTTGACTGCATCCCCTTCTCAAGTGGCATCGAACAGAGAGGATCTCTCGGGTCTGGCTTTGGCCTTCTCCTGAGAGACAGCCGGGAAAGGAAAGTCTCCAGAGGGCTCTGGCTTTTCCCAGGCTGCTGGGAATCTTGAGGCCTCACAGGCTCTGGGAGGGCAGGAGACCCTGTCGGGTGGGTCAGGGGGTCCTTATGGAGGAGGCTTGCAGGGCACGAGGCAAGAGCTGCCTGCTTTTGAAGGACAGCCTGTTTGGCGGGAGCGAGTTCAGTGTTCAAAAGACCCCCTGCCGAAAACTGAGAGAGCGGGATGTCTCTTAACAGATACAAGGAGTAGAGAGAACGAGGGCCAGCTCCCAGGTCGGCATCCTCCGCCGGAAGAAGTGCCCACCAAGCAGGTAAGGACACCCTCCGGACAGCCCAGGTGAAAAGCCATTTACTGCCCCGAACAAGCTGTGCCCATCTCTCCAGGGAAGGAGGCCCACGGCCAAGAAGATGCCCCTCCCCCCTGCCCCAGTCTCTCCCCGTTGGGTCCACCACCCAAACCTCACCCCACCGCTGGTGGCAGGGCTGCGGCCAAGGCCTGGGTGGCTGACGCAAAGTCACAGGAGGGTTTGCCTCGGTCCCTTCGGAGACGGGACTTGGAGGATGCTCGGAGGCTGTTGGCCTTTGCCAGCTTTCCCTCCCTGGTTTATTCGCTGGGCACAAGGGCCCCCGGCGTCCCTCAGCTGCCCAACTTCCCAGCTCTGGGGCCCTGCCTTTTGTCAACAGAACTCTCGTCTCCGTGGCAACCTGGCATACCTGGCACCGGCAGCTCCCAGGTAAAAAGGCGGCTCCCTGGGGGTTTTGGGGATTTGGGAGGTGGTTGGGCCGGCTGGCCAAAGCGCTCCTGCCCTGGGACCGCGACTGGACCAACGGCCAGGACAATCATGGGGGCTGCACAACTCTCAGAGGGCTGCCTTTAGAGCCCCGGGGCCAGGCCACGCAGCTCCGTGAAGGGGGCACCGGGGGCAGGCCAAGCATGGCTTGGGTGGGCTGCCACGGAAGCCCCTCAGCCTTTGCCAGACGGTCAGGGGGTGGGCCAAGGAGGGTGGAAGAGGCCCAGACCTGAATGCCCCCTTGGGTCCAGCGTCGCCCATGGCCGAGAACAGGCGTGGCCCTCCCTGGCCAAGGACACCCAGCCTTCAGGGCCCCAGAAGCCCTTCAGCAAGCCCCCTCCCCAGCTCGGCCTCAAGCCCTGTGTGGGGGGGAAGCAGAGGGGGAAGCGAGGAATGCCCCCCTCCCGCTCCTCTGCACGGATTTGACTGCATCCCCTTCTCAAGTGGCATCGAACAGAGAGGATCTCTCGGGTCTGGCTTTGGCCTTCTCCTGAGAGACAGCCGGGAAAGGAAAGTCTCCAGAGGGCTCTGGCTTTTCCCAGGCTGCTGGGAATCTTGAGGCCTCACAGGCTCTGGGAGGGCAGGAGACCCTGTCCGGGGTGGGTCAGGGGGTCTTTCTGGAGGAGGCTTGCAGGGCACAAGGCAAGAGCTGCCTGCTTTTGAAGGACAGCCTGTTTGGCGGGAGCGAGTTCGGTGTTCAAAAGACCCCCTGCCGAAAACTGAGAGAGCGGGATGTCTCTTAACAGATACAAGGAGTAGAGAGAACGAGGGCCAGCTCCCAGGTCGGCATCCTCCGCCGGAAGAAGTGCCCACCAAGCAGGTAAGGACACCCTCCGGACAGCCCAGGTGAAAAGCCATTTACTGCCCCGAACAAGCTGTGCCCATCTCTCCAGGGAAGGAGGCCCACGGCCAAGAAGATGCCCCTCCCCCCTGCCCCAGTCTCTCCCCGTTGGGTCCACCACCCAAACCTCACCCCACCGCTGGTGGCAGGGCTGCGGCCAAGGCCTGGGTGGCTGACGCAAAGTCACAGGAGGGTTTGCCTCGGTCCCTTCGGAGACGGGACTTGGAGGATGCTCGGAGGCTGTTGGCCTTTGCCAGCTTTCCCTCCCTGGTTTATTCAGGTTTTTTTTTTTTTTTTTTTTGATGCATTGCCAGTTTAGCTCCTTCGGGGTGGAAGACGGCACAGAGTCCACCCGGAACCATCAGACGGTTTTGTTGCCTCTTCTTAATTTTGTTTTTTGATAGGTTTTCCCATTCTTAAATTGTGTCTAGACTTTACGTATGCAGGAAAAAATATTGACAGGAGGGCTCTATCTCTCTCTCTCTCTCTCTCTCTCTCTCTCTCTCTCCCTCCTGCCTATCTGGTGGTAACATGACCACTCATTATTAGGGAATGAATGTCCAAAAAATCATTTTAATTTGTTTGGAAACCTGTATCCTGTTTTTTCACTGATGGCATGGAGGCTCCCTCTTCTGTTCCGGAAAGCATGAACCTGAAAGATGGAGCAGAGCAAGGCAGGCGGTCGCAAAGAAAATCATTTTCCTGCTCAGAGCCAGAGCAGATTCCCTACTCATGCGAAAACCCCTTGGCCAAAGCATCGCTTTTCAGGGTGCCAGCCTTTCTGACTCCAAAGTCCTCAGGGAGTCTGCAAGGCCAAGTGGGGACTCGGATGAAGGTCTCCCAAGTCCTCGTCCAACACTCGGCCCCCTCCACCGTGCTGGGCCTCTGAAAAGCTGCTTCTGAGGTGGGCTGAGGCTCTTGAGTCCTGGGGGCTTCTCTCTCTCTTTTTTTTTGTAAGCACACGAGCCTTTCAGAGCTGCTAGACCCAAAAATTAGGTGGCTTTCCACGTGGAGCCCCTTGTGTGAGCGGGCAGCACCCTTGTTTGGGATGAAGGCAAGGCATACGTCAATCACATGCATAAATAAATGGGCTCATCAGCCAATAAATATGCACGCACACGCGCGCACACACACATATGGTGCCTTGAAGTGGAGGTGGGAAGGGAAGGCATTGTGGAAGCGGTGGAGATTCTCAGTCCTCCAGGTGAGGCTCTCTGGCAGCTGAGTCCTGGCAACTGGCCTTCTTTCTTAGTACGAAACGTTTCACTCCTCATCTGAGCATCTTCTCCGGTTTGAGGAGAGTTGGTAGGAGACAACACCCCCCCTGATAGTGTGGGCATTGTCAACCTTGCTCAACCTGCAGTTTCCTAGCCTCCCCCCTCCCCCCTCAAACACGGGATGAATTTCCCCTCAGAACCGTAGAGCTGCAAGGCCTCCGGGTGCCGGGCGAAGCTTGAAGGAATGGCTCTGGGTCTCTCTAGCCAGGGAGGCAAACCTCCAGATGAGCCTCAGAGGAGGAGAGGATTCCTTTCGGAGTGACTTCAAAGCCTGGACAGTCACCTCCTCCTCCTCCCAGCCGGACGTTCAGGCTCAAGGCAAAGAGGTCTGCCTGCGTATAGCACTTGCTCCCCCAACCCAGCCGTGCCTGCCTTTGCCCCCCCCCCCCGGGATGCCCAGCTGACCTTCAGCCTTGGTCCTCCGATCTCCATCACGGGGTGGTGTTGGCCTGGCAGCCCCTGCCTTGGGCTCATATGGCCATCCTAGCTGCAGGCAGAGCAGCTGAGCAAGAAAAGAACTTGATTTGCAGAGGTGTCCCAGACATGATAGTTGCCACCAGGGCTGCGGCTTTCTAAGGAAGGCTTAACTTCAGAAGAACTGTCTGTCTGAAAGCACGCATGCAGCTGTGTTTAGACAGACTGCCTCTTCTTCTGCTGCTGCAGGAGCCTTGCCTCTTAACTGTGCTCACAGCCCAGCTGTGATGGAGCTGATTGAGGTAGCCCCGTGAGGAGGTAACAGGTGTCAGCCCTTGCCTACCCTCTCTCTCTCTCTCTCCCTCTCTTACCATTTCCTGAGATTCCAGAGCTGAGCCCAGGTATTTGGCAACAGGTTCTCAGCTCCTCTGCATGGGGCTCTTGGAAGGCAGCTCCTTCCCCCCGGATGAATTCAACGTTCGCCCCTGCTCTGTGAAAGGAGGACCAAGAGACCCACCCTACCTGCCTGCCTGCCTATCTTGAAGAGAGAGGTGGCTCTTCTCAGGTGTTGGAGCTGCAAAATAAGAGTGGAAACAAGCAAGGGACTCTGCCTGGGGATCTTGGCTCCCTGTGCTGCTGAGGGAGGCCATGGATAATCTCAAGAGGCCTCTCTGGCTTACACACCTGGAGCCTTCTCTCTAGAAAGGGAGCAGGAAGTCTCAAGGGGGGGGGGAACACATTTCTGGTTCATGCCCTCCTTATTTGCCTCTGCTGTTTTTCCCCACCAGCGACCCAGGTAGGGAGAAAAAGGATGTGCTCCCAGGGGCTGGCAAGGGGGAAGAAGGCAGGCGTGGAGGAGGAGAAGCAGGAGGCGGCAGAGGCAACCCAGGGCCAACGACAGCCATGGGGCACGCTCCAGAAAAGCTTCCGGCACGTGGTAGAAAAGGTGCGCTGCTGCTGCTGCTGCTGCTACTGGCAGAAGCTGCCTCTCTCTCTCTCTCCCCCCCCCCAACCCCCGTTCCCAGAGGGAAGCCGCAGCAGAGCAACTCTCAGCCGATGGGGCAGGGCCAGCCCTCCTCTGCTTGCAATGGCACAGGAGACGCGGCTTTGAGCCAGACTCAATGCAGGTATCCTGCCTGCCAGCGTTTGGGGTCCCCTAGCCCTACAAACAGGCTGAAACTCTGGCTTAAATCCAGCCCCGTGGGGAAGGGAACCTCCCTGCTCCCCACCCCCCACTACCGCCAGCGGCATCAAAGGCACAGCCGTGTTTTTCCGTTGCTTTATTCTCACCCTTTTGTAGATGAGGAGCGAGGAGATGAAAGTGGCCCACCTGAGCCACGGGCTGCAGCACCTCTGCCGCGTGGCCTTCGCCAGCCCCGTGCGCCACGTGGCCCACCACTCCCCCAAGAGGTCCTTTGTGGTGCTCGATGCAGAGAGCACGTTGCACTTCTTGCGGGAGGACGGGTCCCTCGTGAGGAGCGTGGCGGCTCCTGCTCCCATGACGGGGCTGCTGTACGCCGCCCAAGTGGACCGGTTTGTGGGCTGGGACACGGAGGGGCTTCTGGTCCTGGACTCCAGCTTCCAGCTGCTCTCCCAGGTGCCGTCCCGCCTCCCGATCCGTTGCGGCCTCTACAGCGAGCAGCTGAACCGGATCGTGACGGCCGGTGAGGGGAACCTGACCCTCTGGGGCTTCCGCTACGGCTTCCGGAGCCTGCAGTGCCACGCTGCGGTGAGCGAGGGCCTGGAGCCCAGCAACGTCTTCACCCACCTGGCCTTGGGTGCCGACAGCCCGGAGAGCCAAAGTTGCTTCACCGCCTGTGACACAGGCGCCGCTGCTTTCGACATCGCCAAGGGGAGACTCCTGTCCTTCAAGAAGGACCTGCACAGCAGGTGAGGCGCCCCTGGATCCGTGTGGAGGAGGAGGAGTTCCCCACCCAGGAGGAGGCTGAAGGGACCAGTGTCTCCTCGGAAGAAAAGGACCCCGAACCATCCACCTCTGCTTTGCTTGGGTGTCAGGAATCCCTTCCTTGCTTCCTCTTTATCTCAAGAGCCATACAGTACTTTGTTCCACTGGTGTGGCTGCTGGGGAGGGGAGGCGGGTTCTGCTAAATCCTCATCCCGTCCTCCTCCTAGCCAGGGTCCCATCCCAACAATGATAGTCCAGGTCTGTGGAGTTCAGTGGTGAGATCCCTGCAGGTGGAGGGCCTGCCTTGTTTGTATCATTCTTTCAGGCTGCAGAATTTGGCACAAAGGTGCCGGGGTGGTGCCGACTGGCTGGGCAGAGAGGGAGATTATGGGGCTATAAACTGTGCAGGAGGCGGATTTTGGGGAAATGGGCATCTGGGGATAGCTGGTGGCAGCTCCTCTCCAGGCTTCCTTCTGGAGCCTTATTTTCTTGCCTCCCTGCGAGCCATTTGGGAGGCAGATGGCAGGAAGCCCTTTGGGATGTAAATGTCCTTTGCTGGAGGAGTACAGTGGGAATTGCCATCCAAAAACGGGGCTTCCCCCCCCCCATCTTCTGCTTAAGAGCCTCGTGGGGCAGTAGGGAAACTGCAGTATTGCAGCCAAAACTTTGCTCATGACCTGGGTTCAAATCCTGGTAGCCAGCTCAAGGTTCATTCAGCCTTCCATCCTTCTGAGGTCAGTAACTTGAGTACCCAGCTCGCTGGGGTGGGGGATGTGTAGCCCGCATCATTCAATTGTAAACGTCCCAGAGAGTGCTCTAAGTGCTGCGGTGTGGTATCTAAGCAGCATACAGTACTTTTATTTCTTTTTTTTGTTTTGACCTCCTTGTCCATGAGGCTCTGCTAGCATGTTTGCACTGTGTCTATGGGACCCCTCCTCCTCCTCCTCCTCCAGTTATCCCCAGGTGCCATAGCATTTCAGCCTCCACTGCATCCATGACAAGCCCACTGGCCAAGCTACATCTCTGCATGTGTGTCCTCGCAGAGCAGAAAACAGAGGAGAAAGTGAAAGTGGCTAACAGAGGAAGTTAGACGAAGGCAGGGGTGGTCCCAAAGGCTCTGAGGCATGGGAGGGAGTGGGGGAAACCTAAGTTTAGTGGGAGATACAGGTCATGATCCCCACAAACGGCCAGAGTTACAGGAGAAGCATGCAAGGTTGTATTCCCCCCCCCAACTGTTTCCCCCCACAGGGAAGGGACTGTGGCCTTTGGGAAGCTAAAGTTAGACCCCATAGGGTTCTGCTGTGGAGAACCAGTTAAGTATTTTGAGGATTGCATTGCTTGTATTTGCATTGACCTTGATGGTGTTATTAATGCCATTCAAGGATTGCATTGCTTGTATTTGCCTTGACCTTGATGGTGTTATTAATGCCATTCCTGCAGAAGCATAGAGAGCAGGGCTCAGTCCAGAGTTATGACCCTTGTTTTTAACTCTTGTGGCCCAAGGGTATGGAGAAGGTGCTTGCAAAGGGGTTTCTCCAACATCCGGCATTCTCCATCCTTGCCCACCTGCACTGGTGTGAATTGTTTGTACTGTAGGAGATCCAGGTGTTCTTGGTGCTTTGCTGAACTTAGCTGGTCTCCCGATTCCCTGGCACAAGGCAATTATCTGGTCACTTTTCAAGAAAACGTCACAGGGCCCATAAGAGTTTAACCTCTCAGCAACATGCTGGAGACGCCAGCAGCCCATCCAACTACATATAGGCATTCACCAAAGGGAACCGATTATGTGGCCGACCCCTTTTCAGAGCCAAGGGCCGGCCTCCGCTCATTCCCTTGTTTGCCCTTCCCAGCTGTAGAAGCTTAGAGAGGTTGCCGGTTTGGCTGATCTAGCTGGTGGCCGGCAGCCCCAGGCTTTGAAAAAGGCTTTGCTCTGAACTGTTGTTGTTGTTGTTGTTGTTTTGGGGGGGAGGCAACCCGACATAGTGGGCCAGAACTGCAGGGCGTGAAGGCAGTGGCTGCAACTCTTCCAGACCATCCCGCTTCCTGCTTGAGTGGAGGCTTGGCTGCCAGAGTTTGCAGCTCCAAAGGGACCCGGGGAGCCCAGGCTCCCTCCCTCCATCCCTAGGGAGGCTGTCGCTGCCCCCCCTTTTGCGAAATGGCGACTGGGCGGCCCTTTGTTGAGTCCTCCTCTGATGGGGCTGCCCTGCTTCCCTCCCAGGGTGATCACAGGCCTCGCGTATTGCCACGTGACCGGCTGCGTGGTGACAGCCTCTCGGGATACCACCATCAAAGTCTGGGACAAGAACTGGAACATTCAGACGGTCTTTGTGGGCCACACCGGTGAGCGGAGGCGCACGGCTGAATGGAGGGGCATGCCTGGTTGCGCACACACCCACATGCTATGGGGATCAATAGCCAAGGGCCACTTCCACTCCTTCCCTGCGTCTGCTGAACCCCCACCTGCAAAAAGAAAGCCCTTTGGGGTGACTTTCCCAGCCCTTTCTCCAAGAGAAAGCCCCCCCTTCCTATCTTTTCCCAGAAAAGATCTCCTTAGGTGGGAACTGAGGATTTGTCACACCAGTGGGTGAGCACAGTGACCCACCACTTCCCTTAGGGTACAGCTCTATGACTGGCCAAAATTAAACAGCCTGGATATACCACCATGGGCCAGCTGTGCCTGTTGAATGTATTCCTAGGTCTTTACTTTCTGAAATTGCATGGCTTTCTTGTAAGGAGTGTGTCTGAGTGATTTGCTACCCACTGTGGTGTAGAGGACAGAATGATGAAAGGGAAGGGCTTAAATGGCCTGGGCTAGGATCCTTGCGCAGGTGTGGCAACTCACAGGGGGAGCAGAACTGGTAAAACCACTCCTTAAATTATCTCACTGTCACGGGACCCCGTAGTCCATATTCCTCACTCTATAGCCCCTCTACAGTGGGGAACTTCTTCTTAAAGGCTGTAGCTGCATTCTGCTTCAGTGGCGGGCATACACTCCTCGCAGGAAGCGGCAGCTGCTAGCAGGCTGGGTAGCCCCCTCTTCTGTCCTTTCACTTAGAGGTAGAGCATAAGATCGTTTCAGCTAATCCTGGTTATGATTAGGTAACGAGTATCCTATCTGTTTCTCTCATAACAAACGAAATAATCATGCTAAGTCAATGAAAGAGCCCTCAGGGCGTTGCCAGTTGGCTCCGCTGGCTCTGACTTTCGCTGTCGACTCCTTTGTTCTCTATTAGCCTTTCTTTGTTCTGTGACCACCCACACTCTACGATGCTTTGTTGTTGCTGTTGTTGTTTAGTCATTAAGTCGTCCGACTCTTTGTGACCCCATGGACCAGAGCACGCCAAGCTCCCCTGTCTTCCACTGCCTCCCGGAGTTGGGTCAGATTCATGTTGGTCACTTCAATGACCCTATCCATCCATCTCATCCTGTGTCGTCCCCTTCTCCTCTTGCCTTCACACTTTCCCAACATCAGGGTCTTTTCCAGGGAGTCTTCCCTTCTCATGAGATGGCCAAAGTATTGCAACCTCAGCTTCAGGATCTGTCCTTCCAGTGAGCATTCAGGGTTGATTTCCTTCAGAATGGATAGGTTTGTTCTTGCAATCCAGGGGACTCTCAAGAGTCTCCTCCAGCACCACAATTCAAAAGCATCCACTCTTTGCTGGTCAGCCTTCTTTATGGTCCAGCTCTCACTTCCATACATCACTACTGGAAAAACCATAGCTTTGACTATGCGGACCTTTGCAAGATGATGTCTCTGCTTTTTAAGATGCTGTCTAGGTTTGTCATTGCTTTCCTCCCAAGAAACAGGTATTTTTTAATTTCATGGCTGCTGTCACCATCTGCAGTGAGCATGGAGCCCAAGAAAGTAAAATCTGTCACTGCCTCCATATCTTCCCCTTCTATTTGCCAGGAGGTGATGGGACCAGTGGCCATGATCTTAGTTTTTTTGATGCTGAGTTTCAGACCATTTTTTACACTCTCCTCTTTCACCCTCATTACAAGGTTCTTTAATTTCTCCTCACTTTCTGCCATCAGAGTGGTATCATTTGCATATCGGAGGTTGTTGATATTTCTTCCGGCAATCTTAATT